AAAAAAAAAAAAACAACCAAATATTTCTATCACATAAAAACAACAACCAACATCAGACGTGTATCATTTCTTCGAACAGCTTTGGAAGCAATATTTTTAGCATTTGACTATCCACATGCATCATTCGACAAGATTTTTCATATTCTTGGGCATCAAATATGAATCCTTCATAAGTTGGTGGACAGTTCAAGTCAAGCCACAGCTCTCGATGTTTCTATTATAAAAGAAAAAAGATAGATTAGAAATATAAATATAATCATTGCACATATACTAAATTATGTGATAAGAAAAGTTTGATTAGAATTATAAATACATTAAATGTACACATACTAAATTATACATGTAGTTGTAAATATAAATAGCTAATTAGTACAATATAATCATATCGATACCTGTAAATGAAAAATCATGTCATGTAATTCGTATGTTGGCGGTAAGTTCAAGTCCAGACACTCTGTATTTTCCAAGATGTCTGGTTGAATGCATGCAGCTCTGAGCTAACGCTTCAAGGTTGATATAACTCTCCGGCGGAAAGTTCAAATCTAATTGCTCCTTCCCTCCAATAGTTACAACAACAACACCAAAGATTTCTTAATGTCAAAATAAAAACTATAGCACCAGTGAGTATTTACAACAACAACCAAAGGTTTCTTAATGTCTAAACTATATAACTTCACAATGGGTAACTTTTGTTTTGCTATCTTTTACTTTTTTTCTTTTAGTTTTTAGAGATTATATTAAGTCGGCTTACCAAAGGAGAATGTCCCCTAACAACTCTTCCTTGTTGTACTGAGATCCATGACATGGGGGAGCGGCCTACGACGAAGAGGACCAATCGACAACGGAGGAGCCAAGTATGTTCAAACTTTCTTCATATGGGAACAAACTATAATTAATCAACATATCTCAGTAAAGATCATTACTTTAAAAATGTACAGTCATACATTTGTACCACAACAGATCCTATTTAAGAAACTGTCAATCAAGAAACTAAAGAGATGACTACTCAACTAGTTCTCGAAACTATTTATTATCATTATTACAGTCCACATGGAGCGTGTTTAATGAACAACTATGATGAAGCTGTTTAAAAATCAAACTATGCAAAGAGATGCTTAATTTCGGTATCAACTATGTACGCACATTAATTTGACACAAAAAGTTACATAAACATTTGAATAAAAAAAAATTAGCATCAAAGAAATTCCCGTTAGACTAAGTCATCTTTTTCTCTTAGAGGAGCACTGATGTCCCTGTATTTTTTATCTTCATTTGCCAAATACAGAATACAACACACCCATTTCATTACAAGATAGTAAAAGCAAATCAATTAACAAAGCATAGAATTAAAAGGCAAATCAAATATCAATTGTCTAAAAGCCTTAGATGATATGCTTTTCATAGTGAAAAAACACTCAAAATTTTTTTAATAACAAAATTCTCATCATTAGCCACTGGCTAGAGAATTGAGTTGAATGGTAATGTAGTATTTTTACATGTCAAAATGGCTAGAAAATATCCTTTTACAAAATATGGCTAAAATTTATTTTTTATAATTTTAAATGACTATCTAGTGTTATTAACATTACATTTTCGCATACTTGTTAACAATGAGCCCGATTTGGATATTTGAGACGTAAAATATGCGAAAGCTTATCGCATTATCGTAAAATATGCTGCAATCAATTTGGATATGCGATAACTATATATGCGAAATAAATTCCCATAACAAAAATTAACGGTAGATATAAATATGCGATTAATGAATATATAAATGTGTTTCGAATAATTGTTAATTGTGCATTCAATTATAAATATGTATAAATATATATATATA